CTGAGGGAGCTGGGTCTCTTTAGCTTGGAGCAGAGGAGACTGAGGGGTGACCTCATTCATGGTTATCAATTTGTAAAGGGCAGTGTCAGGAGGAAGGAGCCAGGCTCTGCTCAGTGACAGCCAATGACAGGACAAGGGGCAATGGGAGCAAGCTGGGGCATAGGAGGTTCAGTCTGAACATGAGGAAAAACTTTTTCACTGTAGGGGTGCCAGAGCACTGACCAGGCTGCCCAGAGAGGCTGTGGAGTCTCCTTCTCTGCAGACATTCAAAACCCGCCTGGCCGTGTTCCTGTGTGACCTGGTCTGGTGATCCTGCTCTGGCAGGGGTTGGACTGGATGAGCTTTCGAGGTCTCTTCCAACTCCTCATATTCTGTGATTACCACCCAAGCCCTGATGTGTAGGTGCAACATTCAGATTGCACAGTGCATGCGAAGGCACGGTTCTGGGTTTAGCATTCTGATCTTTCACATGGAGGAAAACACAGGGCTTTTTCCAGAGCTGAAAGAGAGGAAAGTCTTTTCCCTTTCTTGATGGAAATGATGGACAAAAGTTTTTTGCATTTTTCTTCGTGGTGGTTTCTGCTTTCTGTTGCTTCTGGGGTTTTGAAACCAGTCCTGTTTCTCCATTGAGTTTCAGGTTTAGGCACTAATGCATCTGCTGAATGAGTGTTCATGGCTTATGAATGGGAGAGAAACTGAGCCTTGAGTTTTCTGTTTGTGTTATGTCAATGCTGCCTGCCTCTGCTGGCTGGTGAAGGGTCATTGGAGGTGTCCAGCACCTCTAAGAAATCTGTTTGCAGCTGCACCTTGTTTTCTGTGTGCTGTGATATCTCAGTGCTAATCACACAATTAAAACAAATCTCTAAATAGGAAGTTGTCTCCTTACAGTCACGAAGAGGTTGCAGAGAGCAGCTCGCTTCAGGCTGCTGAGGAAATAATAGATTCTCAGAAGCTCAAGGAAAGTTTCAAGAAGCTGCAAAGCTAGTCTGGATTGCAGTCCGCAGGAGACAGCTTTGTGTTCTAGTACACTGCTAAGAGAAGCGAGCCTGGGAAAGAGAAGCTGCTGTGTGCAGCTTGGATTTTTATTTGTCACTGCAGGAGAGGGGTGCTCAGAACTGTGGCAGAGCTGTTAATTCCAAAGTAGCTGCAGCTCAGAGTGGCTGAGGATCTGAGCGGAGACCCGAGAAGCCCATGTGTGCAGCCCGTTCGTGCCTGCAGGTTTGGACAGGTGTGAGTGATTACCACTCAGTGGTGCTGCTGGTGTAAAGGAGAGAATCCAGCTCTCTCCTGCAGTGCCAGATCTGTCTCAGCAGAGTTGAGTGGAAATAAAAAGCCAATATGAGCCTGTTTGAGAGAGTCGGCATTGATCTCACAGGAGCAGGTCTGTGGAACGAGGTGACAATTTTATGCAGTGAGTTTTCAAGGTGGAACTGTTCTTTTGGGCTTGGATAGGGTCTGCGGGGTCTGAGCAGAGAGCCAGTAGCCAGCCCTCACTTTCATGTGTGAGATTTTTTTTTTTACCTTTTGGTTTTTTTCCCCTCCCTACAGCATCTGGCACTACCGACAGCCCCGTGTTCTTGAAAGAAGGAGGAAAATTGAAAAAAAATAAAAGATGACCCCTTTATAGTCCAGCAGGGTTTTGCCACTTAATTTCTAGCAGTGGTATTGACATTAGCAGTGTGCACAGCACCTCAAGCTGTCCAGAGGCATCAGTTTTAAAATTCAAGTATTTGCTCCTCATGTTAATCCTTAGTGTCACTTGGAGTTACAAGTAAAAGAGGCTGGAAACAGATTTTTATAGGGCTTTTTGGCAACCTGACATAGAGCCTTTTGTATTCTTTCTACACTCTCACCTACTACGAATTTGGTTCCTCTGAGAGGTTGGGATGCTTACATCTGTGTCTGTCCTTCCTGGAAACAGCAGACAAAAGGAAACGGAAAACTAAACTGAAACAAAACGAAAACAGCGCAATTATGAAGCCACAGCAAATTAGAAGGGGAGAACCTCAAAATGGTTTCATCTTTTGGTTGTTGTTTTTTTTGGTATTAGATTTCAGTATTTCCTTTCTTTTGAAGTTCTTCATTGCTTTTGAAGTTGATGTGAAGTAGGTATGAATGAAGGCAGAGTGGACCTGTGGTATTTTTAACTTGCTTCCTTGCTGTGTTGCAAATGCTCTTACTCTCTGATGGTCGCTGTTGTTCTCCACTGTCAGCAGAATGACAACAACCGTGGCTCTGAGCTTCCACTTCCAGACACGTCTGCTGTTCCAGAGACTGAAGAAAAATGTTTTCTTTCCCAGTGAGCCTTGGAACAGTAAGGTTGCATTTTCATGAGTAGGACAGACTGAGCCAGGAGATAATGGATTGATCTCAACCAGGTGGAGAACTTCTGCAAGTTGTGTCTGTGCATGCACAGCTGCAGGTTCCCTTCTTCAGACTGATGGTGTCTTTCGCATCTTCAGGCTTGCGAGATCCTGTCTGTCAATTCCTTTTTTAATCCCCGGTGACCAGGGCTGATAACTTGCTCCTTTTTTGTGCTGTTCCGGAACAGTGTCTTTGGGGAACCCATTGCAGCCTATCTGGAAGATGGATTATTTTTTAAAGGAAACAGTCCGGTGTGCATGTCTAGGCTTGAAGTATAACAGAGTCCTGATGGGACTGGCTTGCTGCAGCACACCTTCAGTAAGAAAGCTCCCTTCCACGGTAACGTA